AACAGATGAGATCAACACTGTGTATCGTTCTAAAGGACGATGCTTTCAGCAATAAGTTTCTGGAAATGCTTCAATGTATGGTGAGGCATCGTAGTCGGGTTAGGCATAGATCTGTTGACTACGGTGATCGAGTGACCGCAATTAGCTAACCACCAGGCGCAGGTTACTGTAGCCACAGCTGGCTGGACATTTCCATGAGATTTCAACCATACAGTCCATGTGATACATATACAGTCCATGGTCCGTATAAGTGTTAAATTCAGTATAGACAAATGACTTACAGTAGGACAAGTTGCTACTCCTTCGGATCGATCAATAATGGAGCATGTGGGGGCGGAAGGGTGGGGTACGGTAATTAGGCAGCTACGCGTGCAACTGTGAGCGCAGCCTGATTAGCTCGAAATTCCGGTGAAAGCGCTTCCACAGACCCTGTGCCATGGCCATGACACAGGGTCTGTGGAAGCGCTACGAAAAGCGGATTGTATACTAAACTATTGTTATTTGCTTTTCCTAGAGATGACCTGAATGCTAGGGTAAATAAGAAAATCCTAAACATTTTTCCTTCCTTCCAAGATCTCTCTTATTTTTTGAGTAGAAGACTCCAAAAACCCGGGAGTTCTCTGACTTTCTCAACAATCCGACTTATTGTTATTAAGATCTTTGACTCTAATGGGGAGGAAATGGCGTGCGATAAGTAGCACCACCTATTTACCACGCTCACAGTCTAGAAATCAAGTCCCAGCCTAATCCCTTTAGGCTAATCACAAATCCTTTCCTTCGAACCGGTTCCTTTTCACTATACTTACCTGGGAGGATAGAAACACTGCTCTGTACGTCGGCTGGCCTGCAAGTAAGTTTGTAGCCAAGTCGCATTCAATTGCCGACACAATTCGGTGTGGAAGTAGAATACATGGCGCATCCTAAAATAGCGATCGATCAACGCCGAATGCTTCTGAAGATTCACAGTCCTGCCGTCTTTTAACCCCCGCTGTACCCATTTTTTTCATTTTACACGATACCATTGAGTCCCTTTTTCCCGTTGCATTCTTATTTATTCGTATTCCGGCGTTGTTTTTTCACGATTTCGTACGGGGCGTTGCTCACTATTCTGTGCACGGTTTACCGTAAAATTCATTGTCCTTTTTTGTTGTAGGTCTTTCCTTGTCGCCCTATTAAGTGTTCCTACATAGAGCTACGATGATCTGTGGCAAGTGGCGATGCTTACCACGGGCGCGGCTCGGGGATCAGGTCCTTGGTAGTGCATCGTGCGGACCAACCAGACTTCCACACCTTCGGAATCGCTTAATTGGTACCATAATTGTCTGAAAGGATGACCAACACGCTTGTATCGGCTGGCCTCGAACTCTGTTAGGATAAATCGCATTACTGTGCACCTGCGTTCTAATGGTTGGCTGGGCTTCCACGGGTTGAGACCTGAATGCTTTGTCTTTTTTACTATACGATTGAGGGCGAATCTCCAAGCTTGTCCTTTCCATGAACAATTGGATTACTGTTTTTGTAAATTTGTTACAAAGCCAATTGTGTAGTTTTGAATGATTATAGGATTTTGGATTAGTATGGGTAATTTTCTGTGTTCTTAGTGATCACTTTTTCGGTATCAATAGGTCCCATTTCTGTTTGAACGGACATAGTACGGATCCGACTACTCTTGATATAGCCGTCGGGATCTCCACTTTGTGACTAAACTATTGTACTACTGTGGATAACTCCTCATTCTCAACACGTCCTTACTACCACTATGCAATTCCTAAAATAGTATAGACAAGCCTGAAAAGTGTTCGGAACATCTCTTATGATTTTTTATCAGAAGCAGAAGCTATCAAATTTGCCTCATTACAGAACAAGTGTTGCCCATACTTTGAGAAAACATCTTCGCCCACTATGCAGTCTGACGAGTCCGATTACATCAAAGTACTAAGGATAAGGGTAGGTTCAAAGTTCGTCGTTTCCCTTATTTGACATTCAAATTGCTGTACTCTTTTTCCCTCGGCGTGTGGGAGGGGAAGGAGGAAGTGGTGCGGGAAGAGAGGAAGCGGCAGAGAACTGCCTAGTCTCGAAGAAACACGTGATGACGGTACTAGCAGATCCCAAGGACATGATTTGTGGGACGTCCGTGATGGCTAGGTCGATGCCACGTGATTCCCTAATCAAGGACTGCATGATTTGTGACGCTCGTGATACTATCTGATGCCACGTGATTCACTAATCAAGAGACTGCACTCACGACAGGTTTCCCGCGGGAAATAGGAAACTAATTTTTCCGGGATCAGACATGACATTGAAAAGGAAATTGGTTATTTGTCGTGCAAGAGATATATGCCGCATAAGATGAATGATATAGGGCTGGAACCTAGAACATCACAAATCTACTAAATCTACCAATAATGCATCAGAGAACAGGAAAATCTTGGAAAAACTCCCTCACCGATCTTCAAGATTTATTATCCCTACTATATAGCCGAATATGTCTGTTTGTGTGTGTTTGTGCGTACGTCTGTTTGTCTATCACGAAATTCATAGGAAATGAAAAAAGGGAATGAAAAATGAAACGCAATTTATAATCCATTCATTCAGGCATGGAGCGCTGTATTTTGAGTATGATGTAGGGGGTGGGACGGGAACATATTTGGTGGGGTTCAGAAAGTGATAACGACTGATAAGATCTGATAAGAGGCGCTGAAACGCAAATTTCACGAAATTCATAGCGCGCGTCCCAGCAGCAGTGGGGCGTTGGTTCCAAGAAGTGATGTACAGGGTGGGACGGGAACATGTTTGGGGGGCAAAAAGTGATAACGACTGATAAGGCCGATAATTGCGATATCCGTGGGAACATAAGATTACTTAAAGGAAGCGATTACGATAAAGAGGAGCGCATCGGGGAAGCATGTGCACCACACGAATCAGTTACTTGGCTGCCAGGGAAGCGAGGTGTGGCGCTTTCACGACGAAAGGTGCGCTGGTTGCTGAGCAGGACTTCGAAAGCACTCCGCCCCCAAAAGCGATCCGCCCACTTGTTGATTTGGACGAGCTGCGTTGCCAGCAGCGGCACAAATGGAGCATCTCGATTAAAGCGTGGTTTGGCATGGTGCCACCAAACGCGTTGCGGTGAACTCGTTCATACGTCCGCTTTCTGAGCTGTTACCTGTTCATGAGTGAAAACCAACGGCCAAAAAAGGGGGTCCCGTTTTGCGTTTTCTTGACGGATTTCTCTGCTTTTTCGCCACTGGCGTACCATTGAGCACCACCAGTCACACTAAACCCTTCTTGAATCTATCGTAATCGCTGCCTTTAATTGAGGCCATTTGGTGGGAGAGGCTATTTGGGTTCGGTCAGGTTCAATGAACATGCTATAGGACGAGAGAGCAATCTCGTGTCCCCACGCGGAGGCGTCATATTACTTTTACTTTCCTCAGCAGGATGCTTCCTAGCTAAACTAAAAAAGTTATACGATCAAATTTTTTCTAAAAAAAATCAAAAAGGAAAGAGGTGTATGTGTAGCGCTTATGAAACGCTTCGCTTCCAGCTTTTTCTTTTTCAGCATTCAGACATTAGAATGTGAGCTCTGCGTCCACCAAAAATGGCTCGAGGGTTCCAGTGGACGCAGTCGTTTCTTTTACACAGGAGCACTGATGGTTTTATAATTCAAAGAGCTCTACAGATGCGTCAATCCTGAACGGAACGCTTTTGCTTGAGCGATGACCCAAACTGACAGAGTGTATCGGTTAAACGGAGACCACATATAGTATGCTAGAGTGTTGGAAGGAGGTGCAAGACATATAAGAGGAAGACAGTCTTCCTTACTTCTTCCAAGAAATGAGCCTTCAAAAAATGTAGGAAGGGCAAGAAACACGCTCTATGACTTCTTTCATCTCACTCCATTCCAATAGTAAAGAAGTATGAGAGCTTCGAACATTTAGGTCGATTTCAATTACGTATGTACGCGCTATAAAAAAAGCATTGATTTTCTGGCCAAGCTAAAATCATCCTGGAAACAATTTCTCTTGAAGTATATACGACTTTAAAACCTGACAGCGATGAAACGGTCTTAACATGTAGAGTTTAGGAGCGAATGGTGAGGAAAGAACGCTACAGTTTCCAATGAAGCTCGACCTTGAACGTCCGAAACGACCTCGAACTACATTTTCCGAGGAGCAGCTGCGTCTGCTTGAGGAAGCATTCCAGCAAAATGGCTACCTTACTGGAGAGGCCCGGATGGCTCTCGCTTCACGGCTTGCCCTCAGCGATACACAGGTCAGTGAATTTTTTACTCTGATCCATTTTCTAAATTTGAGAGATGTTGGACGGTAAGGTTCTCTTTGGAGGATAAGCACAAATACACGGATTATTACTATAGCCACAGGTGTGGCCGGATGCCTACACAAGAATTCCTTCAATGGGACAAGGAACTTCCTTCAAGGCACATCCCACCGTTGGCGGAGATTCCCACAAGGGCGGAGTTTGCGCTCCGCCCCTGTGGGAATCTCCGCCACGAATCTCTACAGATTTATAGTTTTGGTGGAACGGCTTCAAGGCGAGTTCTGTAGGGCGGATGGAAAGGAGAGAGAGGGTAAGGTCATCAGCATAAATGCTCTGCTCTGCATCTCTGCTAAACGGCTAGTATCCACAGCTAGAGTACGAAGACGACGGCGAGGGTGTGACCATTTGCTGGGCGCATAGCGTCGTGAGTGTTGCCAATACAGCCATTAGGGACTTAACTTTCGCTGTGAAATACGCAGGGTTTAGGGTCGGGGCTGCCCCCCCCCCTAATCCGACCCTTCCACTAGATACATATATTTCCCCTTTTTAGAACTCCTACTTAATTGTCAACTGTTTAACCCGTTATACATTACATTGAAGATTCGGGAATTTCGATCAAAAAAGTTCAAAAAGACCACAGAGCATAATTGCATTCGAACCCAATCCTTAGAATACTTCAACTGACAAATATAATAAATCCTTGAGTCTTTATTGTTAGCATATTCACATCAACAATTTGTTTCGATTTCTATTAAATGCTTTAGGTCAAAGTGTGGTTTCAAAATCGAAGGACTTAAGAACAGAAAGAAGACAATCAACGAGGATGGAAGGTGAGCGAGGACTCCAAGAGCTGCCTTGAAAATCAAACAAAATTCGGTGAAATATGAAAAGTGGGAAAGTCGTTGGCAAAAGATCTTCTAACCACACCCAATGGAGGCTTGAAAACCTTCACTGCAATCGAAGAGCTTTTTTCCGTAATGTTGTGCGTAAATGTGTAAAGCATTAGAGGCTGGACAATCCCTTTTTGGAATGCGCAATGCATTCTTCTCTCATCAACAATCGTAATTCCACTTAGCATTCATTTGTAAGAGTTACAGTTATCGACTTCGTAGCATACCAGAAAAGGGGTCTCTAGTTCGATTCCTCGTGGTGACAAATTTTTGCATTTCGAGTTGACGTTTCCAAAATTCGCGCAAAATGGAGTTAGCATGAATAATTAGTACCATATTCATGATTAGGACCGTCAGTAACCCTTACAAATAGACTTTGATTAAAAAACAGGTGAAAAATTCCACTTAGGCAATTCATTTTGTAAAAGTTACAGTTATACTTCCTGAATACCAGAAAAGGGGTCCCTAGTTCGATTCCTCGTGGTGACAAATTTTTGCATTTCGAGTTGACGTTTCCAAAATTCGCGCAAAATGGAGTTAGCATGAATAATTAGTACCATATTCATGATTAGGACCGTCAGTAACCCTTACAAATAGACTTTGATTAAAAAACTGGTGAAAAAGGTGTGACACCACAGTGGGGCTGCTTGGTGTCACACCTCTTACACCAATTTTTAAAGGCACCCTCCGCGATCAGACGGGCTCGCCTGCTCCATCCAGGGTAGTAGGCAGGTGGACAAGTGGATGATGTCGGGCCCCTTTTGCGGCTTGAAAGTACGCGACAAAGGCGCAAGGAGCTCGTCCAACCGCAACTCACACCTTCTTCCGCAAGCCCCACCCTTCGCTGTCGGTTGCCACGTGGCGCTGCTTGAAAAGCGCGGGCGCATTTGAGGCAGCGGTCCCATCGCGATCCAATGTCATTGGCACTGGAGCAAGTAGAGTTAGGTTCGTGAAACTCGTCCAATTCGCCTCTTCTCTATCCAAGGTGGAATGTGGCTGAAATAGGGGAGGTCTCTGTACGGGGCGTAATCGGTGGTTTTTCGTTTGCTTTCCTTCTCTTTTACAGACCACCTCCCACCTATAGCTTCATAACTGAACGCTTTTCCACACCTATTTTATCCCGAATCTTGCCTTTAAATCAAAGTCTTTTTGTAAGGGTTACTGACGGTCCTAATCATGAATATGGTACTAATTATTCATGCTAACTCCATTTTGCGCGAATTTTGGAACGTCAACTCGAAATGCAAAAATTTGTCACCACGAGGAATCGAACTAGGGACCCCCTTTTCTGGTATTCAGAGGGCCGTTCAGGAAAAATTAACCATGGTTCTGTGGTTCCCCGCATCTGCCCCTATATCATCACATCCAGTGCACTATACAACTATTACAACCCCAAAATCTCAAAATTTTCGAATTTCCTCGAAACTTCGTCCACATAGGGTTTATTCGATGCCCTGATTACGAGAATGAAACTCATTTTCGGCGTTGACGCCAGTTTGGCGCCAGGGCTATTTTCACCAAATTCGCTGTCAACTTATATACAGGGGTTATTTTGGGTTCTGATTACGGATATGTCATTCGTTTTTAGCATATTCCACCGTTCAACGCACATTTTCCATTTTTCCTGGGCCTCTCACTTGTACATAATACCTAGGACTAAGCCTAGGAAGGAGGGAGGACTCCGGGGTGGGTGAACCAGTCAACATGTGGCAAACGTTAAAGCGTATAAGATCACAGGATAAGTGTTATTCACCTCGGAGCACTCTCCTCCCCAAAGGCTTAGTCCTGATCGCGAGCTGATCAGTGAGAGGGCGCAGACGAGCGGAAAACAGGCGCCCACTAGCGCTAGCGGGAAAAATGAATGCCGTACTTCGTGA